TCTGTGAGAAACCACTTGCAGGATCTGGAGTCTGTTCCTGTTCAACACACTTTCATGAATGTGTCACAGAAGAGAAATGACGGCTCTGTAATTAACTGTAATAGAACAAGCTCTGACCAATTAGCTAGAGAGTGTTTATTAGAAAACCTTAATTTCAGGGGGATTTAGACCACTGTGTAAATGAGGTGCATCTGAGGCATCATTATAATATTCTGTTAATCAGCACACCTGGAAAATGTTGGAGAAGTTCCACCACGCAGGATGAATGGGATGTTTTGTTCTTTATGCAGGAGTGAAAGTGGTGGAAATGTGTCCTCTTTACAAAGCTGGCAAGTGCAGCAGTAGTGAATTAAACGTGATGGTACATAATCCCGTGATGTGCACCACCTCCATGGCAGCATGACATTAGCTACCGGATCAGTCATGTCTGTAAGCCATTCATATGGGGACAAGACGACCTTCTGAGAGCAGAATTTGTTTTTGATGTGATGTAAAAGAAAATCAAATAAAAATATTGAAAATGTTTAAAAAATAATGAAATGCAGAGAAACTCTTTAAGTTAAATTCAGTATCAAGCATCTCTAAATAAAAATAAAACATTCCAAATTAAATGCAAGAAGCCAGTGTCCTCATATGTGCACGCAGGGTCTCGGGAGGTGAAAACACAGCAGCTACAGCACTTAGAATAATGCTAATGGCCTTCACATTGACTCAATTTGTAAAACGTTAACTTTCAAAGTTGGAAATGTTCCTTTCTTGATTTTGAAGTTCAAATCAATTCTGAGCAATCACGGTGGAACGGTTTGTTGTGAAGTAAAAGTTAATGACCCGAACCAGCAGTAGTTGCTGCAGCCTGGCATGCTGCGTTCAAAAATGTTACATTTCCACAAACCTCATTTCTGCTTCTAGGTGATTGTAGAGCCGCTCGATCTTTATTAATATTTCATCCATAATCGTCCCAATCAAATCTTCCATAAAATACAAAAAGCTAGCTAACTGTTGTGTGTGATTAAAAACTGTTACTTTTCTGTTTTATTCCCCACGATTTTCATCCGGAGTAGTGAAACAACACGGGGCTGTGAGGTTGGCAACGGTTTTGGGTTCACATCCTGTTCAAATGCAAGAGCCCAATCTGAGACTTCGTAGGGATTTGGAAATTAAATGAATCCGTTCGTTTGCGAGAGAATTACGTCAGTTGTTTATGTTTGAAAGAGAAGTCTTTACTCTTGTGCACAGAAACTGGCCTGCCCAGCCAGCCCCATGCATGCTTCCTTATGGTTGGTTTATGCTTGAAGCGTCCGTGAGGTCCGCACGGCTCCGCGCGGAAAAGTTGCGTCATTTTGCGTCATTTTAACAATCACGCCCCTCCACCGCACCTCCGCACGGCCCAGAATTTCCGCAACGCGCACCTCGGAAAATTTCTAACCACGCGGACGGACGGACGCGGAAAAACATGGCGGACCGGCAAGAACTACTGAGGCAGAGGTTCGTAAATGCAGACATTTGTATGATTCAGCTCTCAGAGATCACCGTGATCAACATGTTGTTAATAATTCTTGGAGAGAAATAGCTCGCACTGTCGGAAAAGACGAGAACGCTGTTAAAAATGCTGGAATGCCGTGTTGTAAACAGTAATTTCTACTTCTATGGTGTAGTGTTGGATGTTTGCCGTAGAGCTCCATGCTGCCCCATTCAGTTTGGGAGAATATTGGCTCACCGCAGAGACGAACCGCACGAACCATAAACACTGCGAGTTGTGAAGCGCGTTCCATCCGCGAGCCGCATCACCGCCCGGAAAGTGAATGCGTCAAGCATAAACCAAGCTTTATGGGAAGCATTGAGTCTGGGAAGTCTTCTAATCAAATAACCCCACCCCCTGAGAATTCTAACTGAGCCAATCAGCGCTGAGCAACGGACGTCACACACCACAACGCTCAGTTTCTCATAAACAATGAAGAGTGCGTCTGAAGCGGCGTTTGCTGCGGCTCTTTCCTCTGTTCTAAATGACGTGAACACGTCTTTAAAACCACAACAAGAATAATCACTAAAATCCTTTCTTCCAAAAGCAGATGTTTGCACCGTCACCAGACGCCGTTTTTGACTACAGCTAAAAAACTACAGCGTCACATTGTACAGTCGGCATTTCTGCCTTTTTTCATCCATCCATCCATTTTCATCCGCTTATCCAGAGTCGGGTCGCGGGGGCAGTAGCCTAAGGCGAGAGGCCCAGACTTCCCTCTCCCCAGCCACTTGGGCCAGCTCCTGCGGGGGAATATCAAGGCGTTCCCTGGCCAGGTGAGAGACATAGTCCCTCCACCGTGTCCCGGGTATACCTTTAGGTCTCCTCCCAGTTGGACGTGCCCGAAAAACCTCATCAGGGAGGCGTCCAGGAGGCATCCTGACCAGATGCCCGAGCCACCTCAACTGGCACCTCTCGATGTGGAGGAGCAGCGGCTCTACTCCGAGCCCCTCCCAGATGACTGAGCTTCTCACCCTGTCTATAAGGGAGAGCCCAGCCTTTCTGCAGAGAAAACTCGTTTCGGCCGATTGCACCCGTGATCTCGTTCTTTTGGTCACTACCCAAAGCTCGTAACCATAGGTGAGGGTAGGAACATAGATCGACCGGTAAATCGAGAGCTTCACCTTCTGACTCAGCTCTCTCTTCACCACGACAGACCGGTACAACGCCCGCATCACTGCAGATGCAGCACCAATCCACCTATCGACCTCACGCTCCAGTTTTCCCTCACTCGTGAACAAGACCCCGAGATACTTAAACTCCTCCACTTGGGGCAGGACCTCATCCCTGACCCGGGATGAGGTCCTGCTCTCAATTTTTCTGATTGGTTATTTTTGAGCTGCCTAGTCCCGCCCCTCATGTGCCTCTCTGCCTTGGAGTAACCTGACTAGTTCTCTGTGTGGACAGAGGACGAGTCTGGCAGGCCAGGCCACACAGAAACATCAATCGCCAGGTCGATTGTACAGTTACTTTACCAATTGTCATTCTGTCACAACAACACATTCTCACACCCGAGCGGCTAAAACTGACGAAGGGTGACCAAGCGTCACTTTGCGATGCCCACAATCAAACAGAGATTTCACCAAAATGTGACCTTTACCCTCTTACAATTGAAACTTCCCCTCACTCCCATCCTGACCTTCAACCCACTTGTGCATGCAACACTTTGTTTCTAGTTGTATCGTCCGTCTCAAACACGGTTAACGAGAAGTTTAGAATGAGAAACTGGGTTAAGGTTTGAATGGGTGCGAGGGGAAGGTTAAATGGCAAGAGGTTAGAGGTTAAACGTCGGTAAGATGGGCTTCGGAAACCGACGCTCTGGCACAGCGCATCGCCTCTCGACGTGTTTGTCGGGGCTTTGTTGGAAACAAACGCTTGGTCACCCTTCGTCAGTTTTAGCCGCTTCGGGAGTGAGAATGTGTTGATCACAACTGTTCTCCATTTTCACATGACACAGCTTTGAAGGAAAAGATTAAAGCGAGTGAGAAAATCCTGCCATGCAGACTTCACCATAGAAACATCATTCAAAGTCACAGAACTTTGCACTTCACATGACTGAGCTGGTGCTGTGATACATTTTTGGGTTTTGACATGATTACTGATAACGGTTTGTGAAACCGTTCAGTTGAGGATGCTAACTCAAGTTGCGGCTCTAAATTTTCAAACCTTTAAAACAATCTTAACACAGCTATGTAAAAACAAATGATAGAGTTAGAACTGATGGTTTCCTTTCAGTGCAGAGCACACTCCCAAGCTTCCATAGTGTTCCATTTAATTCTTGCTGTAAGATCAAATATTCGTTTGAAGGTGTGTGGTTACCATGGTGACTTGAATGAACCACTGGCAACAGCTTTAACATTGATCTTGGTTTACTTTTCACATCTTATACAGGTAAGGTAATTGTTTTGTTCATTTGCTGATGGGCACCAGTGGGTTTTTATTTTCAGGTATGATCTATTTAGTTCAGTACAATTTACCTGAATGTCTGTTTCCAAGTCAGCTTCCTTTATAACGCTCTGTGAAGCTCATTGGGATTCTCTCTCTCTCTCTCTCTCTCTCTCTCTCTCTCTCTCTCTCTCTCTCTCTCTCTCTCTCTCTCTCTCTCTCTCTCTCTCTCTCAGTTTTAGCTCAATCTATTATTCATATTTCTCTCTCCGTTTGGTTTGTGCTGGTGAGTTATCAGCAGGAAGAACCGGTTGTCCACACACATTACCGCCAGCACAGTCGCAGACCTTTTAAAATGTTTACGTCTCAATGCAGCTCTGTAACAGGCAGAAGAACATCGCTCCAGTGTTTTTCATGTGTTAGAGCTGCTGCAGGTAACTTTAACCATTAGACTAACTGGAGGGTTTCTCTGCCCACTTGATCGCCTGTGCATTAGTTTTAAAAGTTTGAGTGAGTCCAACAAGTTGCTTTTCTAAGGAAAATGAAAGATGCCATGTTTGGTGAGAACTTGGTTCAGTTTGTTTCTGTGTTAAATCCTGCTGGACTGTACTGGTTTGTCAGCTAGCGACTGTTTTGGTCCAACAGCTGATGAGAATACACTAATGTAATAACACCAGGTACTGGTTTTGGTGGTTTATCTGCCGTTTTAATTTCAGCTCATATCTTTTCGGCCCACTGCGTGGTTCTCAATGTTCTGGTTCTGAGTTTGCAATCAGTCAGAATTAAAAAGGTGATCAGAAAAAATACAAACCACAGATGTGCAGTCCTGACATGATTCTCTAATAAAATGTGTTTGACCACAATGAGCAAAAGCTTCTCTTCGACAGCATAATGTTCGCGAATCTTTCATTTCCCTCAATCGACTCTTTCAAAAGACCAATTTTAGTAATTTTGCAGTTCCCCCTCAAGCCCTTTGATTTCATCAGACAAAACATTTGCAAAACCCCCTAAAACTCAGGCTTTTCCTACAGGTTTGTGTCTTTGTGTTAACGTTACAGCATGACCACAAACAGTTCCTTCTGTCTGGCTCTCTCAGGTGTTCACCAGGTATGGGAAGTGCTACATGTTTAATGCTGCAGAGGAGGGGAAGACACTTCGCACCACCATGAAAGGAGGGACAGGAAACGGCCTGGAGATCATGTTGGACATCCAGCAGGACGAGTACCTGCCGGTGTGGGGCGACACAGGTAGGCATGAAAGAGCCCTCACCTGTGCTTTCAGACAGCAAACAAAGAGCTGAAGGAGTAAACAAATGTCTCATCAAAATAACAACTTTGTCAAATGTGGGGCTGTTTTTACCGCTCAAAGCTCCAAGAAGCCTAAAAACACCTCCTCCTCCTACTTTTCCTTCTCTGTTCATGTTTCTTTATGCTGCTGTCAAGTGCTACTCACAAGGCTTCATTTTCAGTATAATGGCTTTCCTGTTGCCAAGCGACTAAAAAACAGACACTTTTGTTTTCTTCTCCAATATATCTCATAATTGTGTTTTTTTGGACATGGGTACCAGCCTAAAACCACGACGCTACTTGAAACTTTCACAATGTTTGTGCTCATGAAATCAAGGATACCACAAATCCTGTTGGGCTAGTTTCTGGAGCCGCCTGTGGCTTTTGGTTACTTTTAGCTATTTCCTCTTACTGTGAAATGATTGCAAACAGCAAAGCTTGCTATTCAGACTTACGCGCATGAGTCCGTCCTTCTTTTCCACTATAGGGTCCCTTGTCTTTGTCATCCACACACTGTCTGGTTGAACATATTCGCCCATTGCAGCTTTACATGCATGAGTGGTCTTATATTTCTGATACAAAGTCAATTAAATGTGATGCAAATGTGCTCAAATGCCCTAAGCTGTGCATATTTTGCAGTAAAAGCGTGTAACCGAACCGTAAGTCAGATGGTTTCAAGTCTTCAGGATTTAACGTCTTTAGGGACACTTATCACCTGGTAATTTAAAATCAAATAAAACGTCTGTTAACTCTTTTAATATGAAACTTGATCCTCCTCAGCTTATGTTAGCACCAAATTGCTTTCTGATCAGATAGATGATTTATACTACTGATCCTGCTAACGTAAGAATTGTACACAATGTCTCCAATGATTAGAGAACTGCTGCTGCTGGGGTTTAAACAAGAGATGACCAACATAGCTTTTTCTCACTTAATAATTTGTGTGGTGTATTTCTGCTCCCTATTTTGTGCTTTAAGTTGTTTAAAAACCTAGTTCTTTTCTGTCACTGACTGCTGGATTCTGGGGATTTTGTTGGACCTTTTATAATTCTTGTGATTTTTGGGATTTGTTGATTTCTCTGACTTTTAGTTGGACTAAAAATCTTTAAGATCCGACAGAGGCAGCTCAGCCACGGCACACGCTCTGCTGTAGCATTGACGCTAATTTAAATGTCTGCCCTCTCTCTCTCCTTCTGCCCCACAATGATGAGTTTATGGTTCTTAAAGCAAATAAAAGGATTAAGAACCTTAAAGAGGATGTGCAGTGTCTCTCTGCTGAACTACAATAGAAGGAAATGCTTCTGGGTAGTTGATCCCTCCAAGCTCCTTCCTCCCACTCAACCACCTGATGCCATCCAGCAGGAGCCTGGAGTCTGTAAGAAGCAGCCTCTACAGTCTCTTCCCTGCTGCAGGCCTCAACTTCCAACGCCCGATGCAAAATACTGAAGGCTGCTGTGTGTCGACACTACTAGACCACCTGTCCTGGCTCAGAAGGTGAGCCCCTCTACTGTAAACCCTCAACTCCACACCCTCCAGTCCCTCAGGTCCACTGGAAGTCAAACCCAGAGTCCTCTACACCTCATCCACTGTTTTCACTGACCACTCTCCTGGTAGGAGATTCAGTAATCAGGAATGTTTGCTTCTTCAATGTCATGATAAGATGTTTTCCATCAGCCACCATCCCTGCTCTCCTGGATATAGTTCCTGGTCTGCTGTGCTCCATCCCAGCTTCAGTTAAACAGTGATCATTCATGTGGGATCAAATGATGACTCACGCCGGGAGTCTGTCATCACACAACAGCATTTAACCATCTCCCTGACATTCTGTGGAGCAGCAGAATGTCTGTTTTCGTCTCCGGCCCGATCACCACGGTTTCCCGTTGATGTGGAAGCTTTAGCTGCCTGCTCTCTCTTCACTCCTGGCTTCAGTCTGCTTGCAGGTCCCTCAGTTTTGGTTTCATTGATCATTTCAACATGTTCTGGAAACATTTCTTCTTTTCCAGGCCAGATGGCATTCACTCCAACCGTCATGGCTCAAGCATGCTAACTGCTAACATCAGGTATGCTGTGCAGTCCCATAGACGTACATCTGTGGTGGATTCCTTCTCACAGACATGAAGGTCTATATCTCAGCTAAATACACCTTCAGCCATCGCTGATCCCAATCACCATCACCACCACTCCAAATGACATCACCCCTACAGTCCTCCCCCAATGCAACCACCGTCATCTGTTTTCCAAGAGGCACTGTCCCCAAAATGTTGTCTTCTGCTGCCAGAAAGTTTTCCTATTGTTCATTTGTCAACTGGCAAGGACATTAACAGTTTTTATGGCCAGAGAACCCAGAAGCGCATCAGACGTTTACCACCCATCCCTCTCCAACAGGCTAAGAAGACAAATGATCTCCAGGATTCAGTTCAGTGTGCCCTGTTAAACGACCATTCCATTTTAAACAAATCCTTCAGTTTAAATGAGCTGTTCATCAGAGAAACGTTGGACTATTTATTCTTACTGCGACGTGGCAGCAAGATGGAAATTTTGTGCATACTAAATGAAATATGTTCACCAAACTGCTCTGTGTTCACCACGCCACGCCCATCATGTCATGGTGGAGGTCTTGCTGTGGCCGTTAAGGACGAACATGCCTGTGATTTGAAGAAAAATGGCCCTTTTACAACTTTTGAACGTCAGATCATCAAAGTAGGGTTACAAAATATGTCTAACTGTATTTGTCTCTGAATTTCCAGAATTTTTATCAGCGATGCTCAAGCTAAAAAAAGTTTTTATTCTTGGTGACTTTAATTTGCACATTAATGACCCTGTGTGCAACACAGCAGTAGAGTTTATATCTGTGAAGCCGGGCGTACACTGTGCGACTTTTTCACTTTTTTGAGCCGATTTTCCAGTCGTGCGAGAATCCACAAGATCGGGGCGAGTGTTGCGCTGAGCATCGTGTAGTGTACAGGGGTTACGAGAGGCAATTAACACCACGTGACCAGCTACCGATCAGCAATCGTGAGCTCGCACGGACTTCTGGCGTGTTTGAAATTTTGCTCGTCCCTCGTGAGGGTATCGCACTGTTGAAGCGGCGCTGCGAGCAGCTGCGACCCAAAAAGTATCAGAACCGCTCACGGCGCATGCGCAATCCTGCATCAACGCCGCTCGGTCGCTATTTCCCTAATAACACACGCTGTTCGTTTTTATTTCTACACGTTTTTTTACTCACAAAGATTGTCAGGAAAGCGTGTTTGTCGTGTTCATGTCAAATTAAACTGATCACAAAACACAGATTTACTTTCTTTATTTTGTTTTCCTCATCCAACCCCCATAAATCCCTGTGTGTCCTCCTGCAGCACTCCCGAAGGACAACAGGCAAAACAAGACAAAAAAGTCTGACGTGTTGAGTAAAAACTGCTATTTTTAGCATATTTTTAGGGCCGACGTGTTGCTACCAGACGTACAGTGTGAGCACATGGCTCGTGAGATCTGCCCTGCGATGAAGTCGTACAGTTTGAGCTGAAGCTGAGTGCTACGAGTGAAAAAGTCGCACAGTGTCCGCCCAGCTTAACAGTGTTTGAACTTTGAACAGCATGTTTCAGGCGGTTGGAACTCCTCTCAGAGTAGCCATCACTGACCCATTTATACGTTTATCTAAGTCACCATTTCTATATCGATTAACTGACGACTTTTCTGGAACTATACAGCAGTTTTCATAAATTTTAAACTGGTTTTTGTCAAATGCATTCAGCAGAAACTGCTTTGCTTAAAGTTTCTAGTGCAGGGGTGTCAAACTCAAACTCACAAGGGGCTGAAATGAAACTCTGGGACGGAGTCGAGGGCCAAACTTAATATTTTTTGAAAAAGTGATGGCAAATTTGCACGTTTTCTTTATCAACATGTATGCAATTTTGAACCTTTAAATTTGGAAACAAACATATTTCTGCATTAACATTGAATGTGGAATAACCAAATTACACACGAGCAAGTCAGTTACAAATAAAACACATCAGTGGTATTCATTACCTGTGGTATATTCAGCATTTTTAAAATCTATTCAGGATCTATGTTTTCTTGTTTATTCATTTTTCTTATTTTTTATTCTCCTTTTTTTCTCCTGTAATACGTGTCATCGCTGCTGTGACATCTAGCTTTCCCCACTGAGGAACAATAAAGGGATTTTCTATTCTATTCATCTATCTGCAGCCTTTCCACTTCCTGTTTACTGTAGGTTAAATCTTTTCTCACGGGCCAACAACAAAATAAAAATATCATTTTATCTTAAATGACAATGCAACATTTCACCTGTTAACTTTCATGTTTTGGAGCTCTCCAGTTTTCAGGTTTGATGTAACAAAACAGAAAAGAGAAGCTTAATAAGCATTAGACACCAGGAAAACATCTTCAGCTGCCTGCTTCTGTCAAAGTGACACGAAACACACTCAGAAAAGAGCAGAAGGTGGTTTTCTGAAGAAAAGGTTAAACCAGACCAACATCCTATTTTACCTGTTAATGGTTCCATTCTGTGTGTGTGTGTGTGTGTGTGTGTGTGTGTGTGTGTGTGTGTGTGTGTGTGTGTGTGTGTGTGTGTGTGTGTGTCAGATGGCACCAGTTTGTTTTTGTGGGTCTTGGATCATTTTATAGGTGATGCATTTTTTAATAGCTGGTTTTGGATCGGCACGTTTTTCTTTTCTGTTGCAAAGATGTTCCAAACATTCTCAAAAGCAAAACATGAAGGCAATTAATCAGATCAGTATTATGTTCTTATTCTTACTATTCTTATGGGGCAGAAGTTGCTCAGGAAGTTAAGTGTTCAGTAATCGAAAGGTTTCATGTTCGATCCCAGCTCCCAGCAGAGAATGCTGCTGTTGTGCCCTTGGGCAAGACATTTAACCCACCTTGCCTTTTGGTGGTGATCGGAGAGGCCGGCTGTACCTGTGCTTGGAAAGCCTTGCCGCTGTCAG